GTGGCATATGCACATGCCCCCTGCCTTGAAAAATTAAAAGCAGGCTTCCTTCTTTCACTGTGTAGCTTAGTAAATGCTACTCAGAAAGGCCTATGGGAAACATTCCTAAAATATTAAGCATTGGAGACAGTTTCTCATGCATAAACATGGAAGCAATTTCTAACTTACCTTTTCTCTTACTTTCCCCCTCCTTTTTAACTTGTTAAATTTTATTTTTTTGGTCTTTCTAAAACAGGGTCTCCCTATAGCCCCAGGTGACCCTGAACTACGCAGAGAAAGCAGCTGGCCTCAATCTTACAGAGATCTGCCTGTCTCTGCCTCTGCCTCCTGAGTGCTGGAATTACAGGCATGGGCCACCACGTCTGTCTTCCTTTTTTCTTAAAATTGTATTTATTATTTATTCTTTTGGTCTTTTTGAGACACTCACTATGCAGACCAGGCTGGCCTTGAACTCACAGAGATCTGCCTGCCTCTGCCTCCCAAGTGCTGGGATTAAAGGTGTGCGCCACGATGCCCGGCCTATTTTATTATTTTTATTTTACGTGTATTATGTGTATTGCTTGTAGGTAAGTGCACCCGTGTTATGCAATGCCCACGGAGGTCAGAAGAGGCTGTCAGATCTCCTGGGACTGGAGTTATAGACAGTTGTTAGCTGCCATGTGGGTGCTGAGATTCAAACCTGGGTCTTCTGCAAGAACAACCAGTGTTCTTAACCACTGAGCCATCTCTCCAGCCCGTCTTCCCCTTTTTTAAAAAAAAATTATTTTTGGAGGAGGGGGTTGGGGATTTAGCTCAGTGGTAGAGCACTTGCCTAGCAATGAATAGGCCCTGGGTTCAATCCTCAGCTCTGGGAAAAAAAAAAAAAAAAAGACCAAAAAAAAGACAAAATAGCCAGGCGTGGTAGCGCACGCCTTTAATCCCAGCACTGGGGAGACAGAGGCAGGAGGATCTCTTCGAGTTGGAGGCCAGCCTGGTCCATACCGAATCCAGGTCATCTAGGGCTACAGGGAGACCCTGTCTCAAAAAAAAAAAAAAAAACAAAAACAAAACAAAAAACAGAAAGACAAAATAAATTTTATTTTCATTTTATGTCTATGTGTGTATTGCCTGCACGTAGATTAAGTGCCTGTGTCATGCAATGCCCACGGATGACAGAAGAGGCTGTTGGATCCCCTGGAACTGGAGTTAGTTGTTAGGTGCCATGTGGGTGCTGGGATTTGAACCCCGGTCTTCTGCAAGAACCAGTGTTCTTAACTGATGAGCCTTCCCTCCAGCCCCAGATTAAATTTTCTTAAAGACATTGCATCTTGGGGGGCAGGGGGAGCCAGGTGTCAGCACCACCAATTGGAAATGAAGGATCAGGATCAGGAGTTCAAGGCCAGCCTTGGCTACACAGCAAGGCTGAAGCAATCTAGCAATGTAGTGAGTTCCGGACCAGCCAGGGCTACAAAGTGACACCGTCTCAAAACAAAAAGCCAACTCGGGTTGGAGAGATGGCTCAGCAGTTAAGAGCACTGGCTGCTCTTGCAGAGGAAGGGCTTCGATTTCCAGCACCCACATGGTGGCTAACAACGGCCCACAGACCTCCACGGGTTTTGAACAGGATACATTTACATATAGGCAGGCAAAGCACTCATACACAGAAAAAAAGATTTTTTTAAAGCCAAATCAGTAAGTAATACAGGGCCTAGGTAACTCAGTTGGCAGCGCACTTGCCTATCATGCCCAAACTCTGGCAAGTTTTCTGGCTTCACAATCCCACCTACCTTACCCACCCACCCACCCAAATAAAAATTTAAGCCATGTCTGGTGACCCGTGCTTTTAATCCCAACACTCGGGAGACAGAAGCAATCTCTGTGAGATTGTAGCCAGTTCCAGGACAGCTGGGGCTACAGGCAGACCCTGTCTTAAAAAACAAAAAAATTAATCATAAGAGTTTACTGGAACCAACCAATCAAGTGCCAGCTCCATAGGTAGGAAAACATTTACAATAAAGTGAAGAACCTAACAGCTTCCAGGAAGGAAATCAGGGAACGAGAGAACAAAGCTTTTCATCACACTGGAAGGCAGCGGCCACAGGGCAACACCACAGCAGTAAAGCACGTATCTAACTGGGTTTGATGATGCCCAGCCCCGAAGAGATTTTAAATGTTCAGGAATTCTTTTCTTTTTCTTGAGACAGGGTCTTGCCATTGCCCTGTCCTGAAACCATGCAGTAACACAGGCTGGCCTTGAACTTGTTTGACAATCCTCCTGCCTCAGCTTCCCACATGCTAGACTACAGGTATGCAGCACCACACCTAGCTAAAATGTCAGAACAAGCTGCCATCACCCTACACAAGTGCTAGGGTCTGAACTCAGTGTCTGACACATAGTAGGCAAGTACTCTACCATTAGAACTACATCCCATCTCTTAGGAATCAGTGAGGAAACCAAAACTAATAAAACCTACCTGGAGATCTAATCATGGGACTGGCACTGCTGTCCTGGATGGTATCCCCTGGCTCCACACATGGACCATCCTTCTGTACCTCACCTCCTCCTGGAAGCCCCTGAGACATCATCCTCTTTTCCTTCCTCCCCCTTCTACCTTCTGGCTAAAGAGGAGCAATGTTGAGACAGCCTTCATCTTACCCCATCTTTCCTTGACTTTAACAGATCCCTGTCACTGTTGCTCCCTGGATAGCTTCAGTTAGCTTGGGGTACTGGTGTTCTGCCAATGCTCACACCTGAGTGAGCTCCTGGCCCCATGACCCACAAATACCAACTGGAAGCGATTAATCAATCCCAGGCCCTGCCCTCCTAGGCTCTGGAAGCTCTGTCACTTTGCTAAAGAGAACCACTACAGAACAGACACTGCACCATTTTCAATCAAGCTTTTAATGAAAAGATCATAAAATAACAGTTTCTCATCACTGTACATTAAGACTGCACGCTTCTGAATGGAGAGATCAGTCGTGGTAAATCACTCTGACACTGGAGAGCTGCACAGCTGCAGCTCCAACCTGAATGTATCCAAATGCTTTAGAGAAGTAAACTCAATGTGATGAGTGGCAACGGTGGTGGCCATACAGGAGTGCGATCCAGCATCCTTACCCTGCTCTGGGAAGGGCATACAGGACATGATCCCTCTTCCAGTTCCAATTAAACAGATATACCCCATCCCTCTTGAGGTATTTGCAAATGGGATGGAGCCCAACCTGGGGCCCCTGGAGGAAACGAGTGATGGGTGGAATACAGGGAGGCTCCTCTCAGCACCTGGCCCCGGGGCCCCACCAAGTGGAGGTTGGGGGGGGGGACCCTGGGAACTCTCCCTGACCCAAGTGAGGTCTGTTATGCAGCATTTTTGAGGTCAATAAATTACAGCAATAAATAGCAAGGTGAGGTAGGGGGAGGGGTTCCTGGTAGAAAGTTAAAGTGGGGTGACTGAAGCTGGGGGCATCCTAGGAAGGGGGTCCTGGGCAGCCTCAGCCTCCACAGCCCTCACCCATCCCCAGTTTGGAATGTCAGACTGAGGCTCTGGTCAGGTCCCTCTCCATCCCTCATTCCTGGCATCCATTTCACAGGCTCAGTAATGTTGGCCTCATTGTGACTGGGGAAAAGACCTTGGTCCCTTCAGTGGGGTACAGCAGTGCTTGAGAGTCTGGCTGCTCTTTTCAGGCATGGCCCCTTGGTTTCTACCTCCCCCCAAACTTGGGCAGGACAGATGTAACCTTCCTGAGCCCTGCCCTCCCAGCTGCCCAGGCTTCCCCCTACTCAGGAGGGCCACAGTCTACCTGCCGCCAGCCCAGATCGCACTCCTGCACAAGGCCTGAGGTCCAGTGAATACTGACAGTATGGGGCACCAGGTGGGGGCCCAGCACCCAAGTGATGATGGACGGGAAACACACCCCTGGCCTCATGAGGTCAGGAGTCTGGGTGTTCACTTCACAGGCTGAGGTGTATGGCTATGCTGCAAGTCTCTGAGATTCTTGTTTAAAAGTTTTTTTATTTCCTTTTTTGCAATCTTGGAGGAGCCCTTGCAGTGGCTCGGTCTGGTGGGAATAGGTAGTGGTGGAGGCAGGGCCTACTTCCACCAGCTTGCCCTAAGTCTGAGAAATAAATACATTCATCACTGCACAAACATTGATATAAAAACAACACTGTTAAAGAGTGTTTGCACCGTCTGTTGGTAAGGGCCAGACCCAAGTCAGCCCCTTCTGCTAGGGGGAAAGGGAGGGGAAATGGAGTCTGCTGAGCTCTGTAAGGTCCCTGCTTTTTGGCTCGAGTGACCCTCACATTAACCTACCCACAAGGCTCATGGACAGGGCAGGGAGCCCAAGCCCAGACTCAGGTCCCATGGCCAGAGCCAACAGCCACCCTTGATATGCCTGCTGGGCAAGACCAAGATCCAGCCAAGAGGCTTGGGGGCTGGTCAGCATGGATGCAAGCTCTTTGGTGCCAGCTGGGCTTGAAGCAGTCCCAGGAATGGGGATGAGGACTCGGGTGAAGCTTGGGGGCTTCTAACCCTTCCCCAACACCAGGGCTGCTTCTGCCCTGGAGCTGCTCTAGGGCAAACTCAGGAGGACCCAGGAGAAAGGTGAAAATTCCCTGGGACTGGCCTTATAGCTGTTGAGGTCTGAAACTGTAAAAGTTTATGTAAACAATGAGATAAATATATTAGTATCTTTTTTCTGAGCCCACTGAGGTTCCATACTCATTCAAAATGTGCTTTGGTTTAAAAAATAGGTTTTGTGAATTTGGATATGAGCTTTTCTTTTGATTTTTTAAAATCATCTTTCCTACATGACATCTGCTATTTTCTGTTTCCTGTTTCTCCGAAACATTCAGGAATTAAGTGACTAAAACAGAATTGTAAGCCGCCTTGGCCTGCTATGGCCTGATTTCTTTGTGAGGCTCTTAACATCTACACACACACACACAAACACACACACACACACACACACACACACACACACACACACACACACACTCGAAAGCATGCACCACATGGAAACAAAGGAAAAAGAAAACAAAACCAAGCGTCAACCCCACCCCGCCCAACAACCCTTAAAATCTTAAATAGGAAACTAGTGTTTTGCTTTCTCATTAAAATACAGAAAAGGCTTGATGCAGTACTAAGGTGGGTATAATACTATGCCACACAGACGTAGCTGAGTGAGGGGGCTTTGCTCCCAGTCCCTGAAGTTCTGTAGAAGAATCACCTACTTTTGAGTAACCTCACCAAAGAGGCTACCCACAGCTTGGGTGGCCATGCACACCCTCAGGGTGTGCACATTTCCCCGAGTTGTACAGACTTTGTGTCAGTGGTTTAAATGCTGGCAGGGTGGGGTAGGGTGGGGTAGAACAAGGGCTAGCATAACCTCCCTTTCGTGGAATGGGGGCCAGAAGTCTTCATTCAGGTGCTCAGCCTGGCTTGCTATAAGAGAGAACTGAGACCACTGGGAAGAGGGGAGGAAGAGCCAGCTCAGTGCTGGAGAACCATGTGCAGGCCCAGCCAGGTGCCCTCACTCCCAGACCCAATGCTCATCATTAAGATCCCTGAACTCAGGCTGTTTCCAGCTGGAAGGTCTCTGGAAGGGTGGGGGCAGGGGATGACTCTGGAATTTTTTGGTCTGAAGTGAAAAGGAAAGGAAAGCAAAGGGCATGAAACAACACAGAGATGGTAAGGCCTACCAGCCCACATCTGTGGCTCAGGGCCAGCACGGACAATCCTGGTCTGCTCTTGCACTTGGTTGGGACCCCTGTAAGCATTTGAGACTGGCTAACATGCCATGGTAAAGGGGTGCTGGACCCCATACTGTCTAAGTAGAGGCCAGCCTTCACCCCTGGCACTGCAGTAGGTTCCTCGGCATACCTCAGAGCTTAGAAGAGGACAGGATGGGGGGGGCTCACTTCCACCTCACCCTGGCCCTGGCAGGAAACTGCTCCCTCCTCATGGCTTCTATTACTCAGGTGCCCAGCACCTGCCCCACACTCAGCATGCCCTGAGCAGCAGAGATCCCCTCAGAGTGCTGGGATCCACAAGGAACCGGGGCCAGCCCAAGCCCAGCATACTCCCACTACAGGAAAACAAAAGCAAGTGGTTCAGCCTCAACTGTACTGTGGTCTTGAATTCAAGAGGTAGCAAAAGGTCGGAAGTCTCTCCACCTTATTCAGTGAGGAAGGAAAGTGAAGCATCTGTGCATAAGCAGCGCACACACACGCACACACACACACACACACACACACACACACACTCACACACAGAAACGAACAGTACCGACGGCCCTGGCAGCAAGTCTAGCCTCCCCCCACCCTCCAAAACCCCAGACCTTCCAGTTCCAACATCCCAAAAATACTGTGGGGAGAGGGTTTCCAATAAAAATAAGTACCTCTAACAAAGAATATTCCTTGGAAATTATAGGAAAAGCATGTTCTCCTGAGGAAGCCCAGGCAGGGCTCAAGATCAGGGAAGCCTTTGGGCAAGAAGGGCTTCTGGGACCTGGAGAGGCGGCTCACCAACAGCCGTGTCCACAGCACCAGGGCTGAGGAACGACAGGGAGGGGCAGCTGCCACAGTTACATTCAGTCTGCAGACCCAGGCTCAGCCCCCAAAGGGGCAGGAGGAAAATATTGTTTGTTTTGGTTTAAAAAAGAATTTTAAAAAATGTTTTTTAAAGAAAAAGGAACAGCTCAGTAGGAATAACAGCAATACAGGCCCAGAGGGCTCTTTAGTTGTAGAGAGGTAGGCAGTGGGTCACCCTGACTGTCCCAGCACCAGTGAGCAGTTGCTACCTCAGCTCAAAGAGGAAGGAACTGTCACCCAGCACCAGCTCCCCAGAGCCAGGGTTACACTGCACTGCAAAGACACAAGCACACGTGCACACACACAGACGCGGTCCCTGCCGGGTGAGGGCCTGCTTTAGACACTACCCTTGGCCACAGGCAGCCCAGGCCCTCCCCTAGCCCAGCCTGCAGGAAAGGGACCTAGTCCCAGTGGAACCCACATGATGGACTCCCACCGGTTCTGCAACCAGCCCCTGCAAGGAGCTGAAGGGCTGGGGGGCTGGGGGGGACGGGGAGGTAGAATGGTCACCAGCACCACATGCATAGGGCTGGACCGTCAACTTCTGCTCCTCTTGGCTTCCCTTGGTACAGACTGTCCATTAAAGCTCTGGGTGTGGGGAGGCTGGACCGGAGGGGCTGCCAGGAGCCTCGTGCTAGACTTTGGGACTTGACCCCTCCCACCATGCCTCCTCCTTCCATAGGCTCCCAAGTGGCAAGTCTGCAGAGTGCTCCTGCGGGTCTTTGGCTTCTAGGAGGGGGAGGTGTGCATGCGCAGGTGGCTGATGAGGTTGCGCTGCTGGGTGAACTTGCCTCCACAGAGTTGGCACTCATAGGGCTTCTCACCTGAGTGCACACGCATGTGCTCTGTGAGGCGGTACTGGCGGGTGAAGCGCATGCCACACTCATCACAGGCAAAGGGCTTCAGGCCCAGGTGGCTCCTCATGTGGCGTGTCATAGTACCACGCTGTGTGAACATTTTGCCACAGATGTTGCAGGGAAAGGGTCGCGTCAACCAGTGTGTCTTCTCATGTTGCCGCAGGGTGGCTGGGTCCTTGTAGGTCTTGTCACAGACTGAGCACTTGAAAGGACGGGACTCAGCTGCATAGGAAGCACTGGGTGTTGACAGGTCCTCAGCTTCCTCCTCTGCACCCCCACTGCCTGTCTCATAAGCCCCTTCTTCCTTGATGAATAGCTCCTCTTCTGTGTGTGTCTCCACGTGAGCGTTGAGCTGCTCCGAGCTGGGGAAGCCCTTGGCACAAGGGATACACACATACAAGTTGTCCCCATATGATACTGTCTCATATCCTTCCTGTCGGTACAAATAATGGGTACCAGTGTGGCCACTGCCCCCCTCACTCCCACTCTGCCCACTGTCCTCACTCCCATCTTTGCCATTCTCCTCCTCCTCCTTGCAGGGATATGGGGGCTCTCCATAGGCCCCACTGGGGCCACCTCCACTAACAGTGCTAGCCAGGATGCCATTGGGAACCCTGTCCCCAATCCCCTCACTTTCTTCCCCGGGGCCCTTGGGCCCGGTTTCTCTCCGATCAAAGGGAGACCCAGCAGCAGGCTCCTTTTTGTTCCATTCCTTCTTTCGGGCTGAATGTCGGAGGCTCTTACGAGGTTGCCCACCCTGCCCCTCCAGCAGACTCAGGTGGTTTTCCTCAGCCCCCTCCAGATCCATGGGCTCATCAGGAGTGCCCACTGCCAGCTCAACGTAAGAGGCACTGTTGGCAACAGGCGGGGCAGAGGCTGTAGCAGGTGCAGGTGAGTCATGCTGGCTGTCACTCAGCTGGGCCGGGTCCTCAGGAGTGAGGTGGGGGCCAGGGGTTGTGGGGGGCAGTGGTGGGCTTTTCTTAGACAGATCCAGGCCCAACTCCTGCTCACAGCCCCCACCGCTCCCATTGGTGCTGCTACTGCAGCCCCCCAAGCCCACCTCCCCACCAGTTGGGCAGACTCCCAGGCCCAGGCCATGTGTACTCTCCTGGGTAGAGCTGCCCAGAAAAAGCTCATCATCTGAGCCTTTAGCTTGAGGGAGCTCCTGGGGGACATGATGCCCCTTGCGCCCATCTACAAGCCCTGGATACCGAGCCTGGATGACAGAGGCTGTGGACAGCCGCTGACTGCGGGGCGGTCGCCCCATGCCAGCAGCACTGGCCCGTCCAGGGCCAAAGGGCTTGCCAGCTCGCTTGAGTTTGCGGCGGCAGAGGGCTGCCAACTCAGGCAGTTGGAGGTAGCTGGCGGCAGTGAGGAGAGTGCTGAAATTAGGCTCAGTGGGCTGGTCACTGGGCAGCAGCTTGCCCGTGTAGATGAAGTCCAGGATCTGCTGGAAGACGGCGGAGCTGACCATGTCTGTGTCTAGGTTGATGAGGTTATCATGCAGGACCAGGGACTTGAAGTAGATGCTGCTGGCAGCCAAGACATTCTTGTGGGCCCGAAAGATGGAGTTCTCCACCATGATGATGACATCACACAGGAAGCCCTTGGTCCTCTGCTGATTCAGCTGCAGCAGGAGCTGTTTTGAGTGGCTGGGAAGCTCCATGTCAGGCCCCATGTCCCTGCGCCCTGCCCACGGGCACCACCTGTGGGCAAGAAGAGTCAGGAGTTAACCTGCACCAGGGCTTGGGGCAAGGTATGTACCCTTTGGACTGACCAGGCCACTGGAGCCCACATCTGGTCCCACCCTCCCCAGGCACAGTGCACAAGGAAGAACTAACATACCCACTGTATGCAGGCACTTTACAATTGTCATCTCATTGAGGTCTCAATCTGTGTGAGAAAGGACAGTGTATCCTTCCTACTCTCTGTCATTTACTCAGATGAGAAAACAGAGGTTGTAATAAAGGCATCAAGGAAAAAAATACGCCAGGCGTGGTGGCGGACACCTTTAATCCCAGCACTAGGGAGGCAGAGGCAGGCGGGGCTGGGGCTACAGGGAGACCCTGTCTCAAAAAAGACAAAAAAAACCCACAAAACCCAGAAACTTTACTTCATGCTACCACTTCCATGCTAAAGGATGTCAATCACAGGCCCAGGAGGCTATGCAGAGAACCAAAAAAATAAAAATAAAAAAATGACCAGTAGGTGGCTATGGATTTCCGGAAGCAGATGCCTCTCTAAAACAACAGGGTCCATAGAGTAGGTTGGCCAGTCCTGCCTAGACATGCAAAGCCACAGGGCTGGTCTTCCCAGATTTCCAGATTTTGTTGGTAATTTCCCTATGCTAAAAGGTTTAAAAAAAAAAAAAACTGAACCAAATCAAGTTCCTCTGCTGGCCCCTGGTTTGTAACCTTTGCTCTACACTGAGACGTGCCTTTCAAAAAATTTTTCAGGCAGCCCAGGTTTCCTGATTTGCTGAATTCTGGTCCTGCCCCATAACACTGCTGGGTCCTTACAACCAACCTCTATCCAAGAGTGCCTTGGGAAACACTGCACAGTGTCCTAACCCTAGTACCCACAAGCCCTTATTGCCCTTTCTAGGAAAGGCTATTGTCATCTGGGGCCTAGGAAAGGCAGCTGCCTGGTCCCTTCCAGACAGGCTGGCATAGAATCTAACTACGGTTACTAAGTAATGAACACACAGGTGCCCTGGTAATCAAAGGACCTGCCAATGGGACAGCAGTGTGCATGTGGGGGTCCAAGCATACTTCATACTTGGGAAGGGAGACCAAGGTTAGCAAAGTATGTACCATGGGCCCCAAGACAAACAAGGCCTCCCAAGGAGGCCAAGGCTGCACACAAAGATGCTTACAACAATGCTCTAGGTGGACCTCAGTCCCACCCCAACACCAGTCAAGGGGAGTATCATTCTAGCCCCATCTGCCATCCAACAGCAGAGTGCACAAGGTAGCTACCCAGAGGACATGGAGACACAACTGCCAGCAACGCAGCATCAAGGCCTTAGCATAAGGCTGGGCTTCCAGCAGCTCCCACAGGCAGCAGAGTCTCCCCATTCAGGGTCCAATTGCTACCAGGCTACGTTTGAGCTCAAAGACCCTATCTCAGATTAAAGGCATGTGTCACCACACCAGGCTTCAGGGCCCAATTTCTGTAAGTAGTTTATTCTAAAGCTCACTTCAGCCTCTTATCTGCCCTTGTTTACAGAGAGGAAACTAACAATCTCATGTCTCTTAAAGTTTCAGAGTTCACTTCAAGTGAACACAGATGTAACCGGAAAGCTACCACTCAGCCTCACAGTAAGTACCTGCTGGGGGCCCAACCTGTTCCTTGCCCCATTCCAGCTGAAGCAACTCAAGAGAGTACCGAAAGGCTGGGGACATAGAGAACCAACCCTTTCCTACCAGCCAGGCAGGGACAAAGAGCTCAAGGTATGGTTTCTAAACCAGGTCCTAGGCCCTAGGCCCCAGGGTAATACCAGTGTCAGCTCTGGCACCACCCACAATGCCTGGTGCCTCAAGCCTAGCAAAAGAAGAAACAAAGAATAGGAGAGCCCATGTATCCTTAGCAACCCCTTTACTGGGGGTGGGGAAGCAAGGCCACAGGCCCTAGGCTCCCTACATGCTGTCCCACACTGTACACACATAGGACCATAGGACAGAGGCTGCACTCTGAGGCTATATGAGCTACCCAGAAAGCCCCAGGACTGCAAACAGGTGGTGGTCCTTCCTCTCCCAGGCCTACCGGAGTGCCAGGGGCCCAGAAACCATGTGAGCAGCAACCAGCGTGGGTGGCCTCCTTGAGCACGCAGACTTCCTGAAGGAGCATCAATGCCTGGTCACCTGGGGAGAAGAAGGCAGATCAGCAACGGAGAGAGAAAAAGCAGGAAGGAGCATGGAGAGACTACATACTCTACTCCCAAAAAGGTATAGGGACACCTGGAGACAGCAAAGCAAGAGACAAGGGTCACAGTGCCCCAGTTACAACAATGGTGGGGAAGACTGAAGGACCTAGCAGCTGGGTAGTACCTAATGCAGACTACAGATTTAGAATACCCCAGGGTCACCTAGATTGAGGGGGTTAGTGGAAGTTACACAATTCCAGACAGGCCAGCAGGGTGGCAGCCTTTCTCAGGCTACAAGAACTAGTCTCAAACGCCAGCGCAGGGGTGGGGGGTGGTGCACGACAATGACACAGAACAGCAGAGGCAGAAGGATCTCTGTGAGATTGAGGTCAGCTTGGTCTACATTGTGAGGTTTCAGGTCAGCTGCAACTACAAGGTAACTGTGTCTCAAAAAGACCAAGAAGGAAAAAAAAAAAAAAAAGAACTAGTCTCAACGGCTTCTGGCTTTACTGCCTCTTTCCCTCCTTCTCCAGAGGGGCTAGTAAACTCCTGCTCTGTCCAGCTTAACCAAATACCTCCCCCTCTAGGGGTTTCACAGCCTGAGGGCTCAAACCAGCAGCAGCAACCCACCAAAACAGCCAGCAGCCAACCATAGATAAAGGTGGGCTCCCACCACCATCATCCTGGGTCCTAAAGAAAGGATCTTGAGTTTCTGAGTCCCTATACTATACACAGAATAGCCCAGTTCCCACTGGAGCAGAGCCAGGAATAGGAGAGGGAGCCTGCAGCAGACAGGAGCCCATCTCTGCTAGCCCTTATCCCATCCCATCCCATCCCATCCCATCCCATCCCTAGGGCCAAGAGGGCTCAGCAGGTCCCTCAGGAATGTGACCAGACCTGGGGTGCAGGCCTTAGGCTGGGAGGCCTCAGCTCTAGACTTCAGACTGTCAGCTGTCTCTCCAGCCCTTGGAGCAGCTCCCCTTTCAGAAGGAGGGGAGAGCTGAAGGGAGGGGCACAGAGTGAGCACAGTATCCCACCAAAGGCCAGAGAGAAGCAGAACCAGCTCTGAGACTCAAGTCTAAAGAAGAGGACAAGGGACAAAAAAGATGCCACTAAAACTGGCAAGATGAGTCCGAAAGACCACGGGAAGCCATGGCATCCATCTTAGCCAGTCAGAACCTACCAAGCAGCCTAGACCAATGCCTGCTCAGTGCCCTCTGGCTTAGCACCTGCCAGACCCTGCAATTACAGGCTACTACCCTTGATAGAGGTCAGCCAACTGTAAGAGACCATGCAGGAAGCACTCCAGTTATGGGAATGCCCTGCCAGTGTCTGCTACACAGCCCTGCCAGACACTTCTCTGGCCTAGGTGAGGCTGAGTGGCTGACGAAGTTCTATTAGCAAGAAAAGGCACAACTGTTTTTTGGGTTTTGTTTTAATTTTAGGTTATCATTTTTACTTTATGTGTATGCATGTACTGCCTGCATGTAGGTAAGTGCACCCGTGTCGTGCTATGTCCATGGAGGTCAGAAGAGGCCTAGAACTAGAGTTATGGACAGTGGTTAGCTGCCATGTGGGTGCTGGGATTGGAACCTGGGTCTTCTGCAAGAACGACCACAACTGGTCTTTCTGTGCCTCCCCTGAGAGGAGGTGGTGGAGCCCCTGCTGAGAGTTTATAGTCTGTCATCCCTACCCAGGTCCCTATCCCATGAGAACACATCACTATCCTGCAGCTACCTACAAATCATTGCTTTTCTCTTCCTATTCCAAAGATGACCAAAGATCTCTGTTCTGCCTACTTTCCCTGGAGAGACCACAAGGTGGGGTGGGGATGGGGGGGAAGGACCAGGGATCATGATTAGACATACCAGTCCAGGAAAAAGCCAGACAAAAGGGCTGGTGCCCAGCTCTAGAAAGTTACCTACTGGTAGCAGGGATGCAGGTACAAACTAGCACCCAGCAGCCTCTGGCAAGCAGGCCCAGGCAGTATACCCACCAATCCCAAGGATAGCAGACCTGGCCCAAGACTACTGTCAGCCCAGAACACTGGCACATGTAGCCTTCTGGGGCAATGGGGCAGGAGGCCTTGCATCTCAGGGCTGACCTGAATAGATCCTTTAGGGGTCCAGAGAAAGGGAAGGGAGGGCACAGAAACTGCCCCCTTGGTTAAGAACCCTCTGCTCCAAGTATCCCCTGTGGGTATGCCCCAGCAAGGCTGACCTTAATAGACAAGGTTCATCTACTGTGAACATAGGTGAGCAGAAGGAATAATATACAATTCTGGGCTACCTTCCCAGGCCCTCACAGACAAGAGACATATGACCTTGATAATGGAATAGTTTAACCCACTTACCCTTCTTATTCTCCCCTCCTAATTACACAAAAATCAGAGACATCTCCAGACTGAGGACAGACTGTGGTCCCAGAAAAGAACTACCACATTACATATACGCCTTGACACATGCACACAAGACACACATCACTGCAGGAAAGCTATAGGACACCACAACCTAGTAACACTCCATACTACAGAGCACCAGTGGTTTTGCCCGGTGGTCTTAGGACCAAATAATCACTGACTCAGGGGATCAAAATTCCAACTTTTTGTTGTTTTTCAGATAGAACACCATGTAGCCCAGGCTGGCTTCCAACTTGCTACACAACGCAGGATGACCTTGAACTCATCCTCCTGCCTCTATCTCCCAAGTGCTAGGATTACAAATAATACAAGTCCAATGCAATATTCAAAATCTGAACAATTTCTACTAAGTGCTCATTGACTCTGCACCATACCATTTTGGTATGTCACACTACAGTGTGATTTTAAGACAGGCATGGTAGCATAAGACCCAACACATGTTCAAAACCAGACAGGGCTACAGAACAATACCCTGTACCTGTCCCCCAGACAAAGACAGGCCACACACGGTGGAGCATGTCTTTAATCCCAGCACTCAGGAGGCAGAGGCAGGCACATCTTTAAGGCCAGCCTGGCCTACATAGGGAGTTCCAGGCCTGTGGGGAAAAAAAAAAAAACAACAAGTTAAGACCAGGAAGATGGCTCAGCGAGTAAAAGTGCTTGCTTCCAAGCCTGACCCGAGTTTGATCCCCAGGACCCATATGGTAGAAAGAAAGAACTGACTGGTTGTCCTCTGACCCCACACATGCAGCAGCATGCATTATACCCTCACATACAATATATACATACAAAAACATTTAAAGGAGAATGAAAGCACAAGCATGGATGAATTCCATGATCACTGGATGAGTAGAAATCATTTACATCAAGTTCTACAACAGGCAAAACTGACACATGGAAGAAACAAATCGGCAAGCTTACATGGGCAGAGCGGCCACAGCTGCAAGACAGGTCCCTGTTAGTCACTCTTGGCTTTTCTCTGGTGGGCCACCACTGGTGTATCTCCAAAAGTCAGTCAAGGCCCAGACCAGCACAACCTCTCAGGGCCTCCCACACTCTCCCATGTGCCCACAATCCCTGTATTCATTTACCACCACCACCATCCCCCCAATGCACACCATTCAAATGGTCAATGAAAAGACAGGGACTGGGGCTTCCCATCCTCACCTTACTGTCTCCTAACCTTAAAAATGGAACTCCAAGCCAGGCATGGTGGCATATACCTTTAATACTAGCACTTGGGAGGCAGAGGCAGGCAGATCTCTGAGTTGGAGGCCAGCCTGGTCTACATAAGTGAGTTTCAGGACTGTTGGGGCTACAGGGAGACCCTGTCTCAAAAGGTCAAAAAAAAAAAAAAGAGTGGAACTCCATTGGGGGACTGATCCCATCCATGATCCTATGGGGGACAAAACCCCTCTCCACAGTGCCTCAGGGGCTGGTGCGGGAGAGATCAGAACACCTGAAGGCATCTCTTTCCCCACAACCTACAATGAGGCAGGAGAGTATGCTATGGCCTAGCAAGACACAAGTTTTGAAAAGTGATCCTTGCTTAAACAGAAACAAAGACTACCCTGCCAATAAGCTGCCCCAACTCAGCTTGGACACCCACCTTGCCTACTGCCATGGTCTCCAGAGGCCGCACACTCAGTACTGCTCTGGCTATCAAGCCTCCTTGTGACTCCCTCTGGACACCAGGCTGGCAGCCCTGCTTCTAGGACAAGAGCAATCCTCCAGGCCCACAGCAAGGCCCAGACTCAGGGTGTGGTTTCCAACCACATGATACTCCTCACCCTTCCACTCAATGCCTGATCCCCTCAGGCAGGAATGAACCCTCCTGGAGGCATCCACTGGCACCTGGACTGGAATTCCTCTGCTTCACACCCAGCCAGGTGGCCTGGTGAAAAGGGTAAAGGCCAAGGAAGGGGGCCACCTCACTCAGCCCTCCAGAAGCTTCTCATCCTGCCTCCCCAATTGGCAGCCACTGACACTTTCCCAGAAGAATGCTTCTTGTAGGAGGCCTGGGGACTGAGGAGAAGCTCCTGCTTGGATCACCTCAAAGAGTTTCTTCCACTACAACCACCCTTGTGAGTGCCACCACCAGATGAGATGGACAAGTCCTGTAAGGCCAGAAGCCTTGAGCAAAACACAGCCACCAGACAGCTTCTACACCCCAGAGATTTAAGCATATCTGATTAGTGTCTGGGAGGGCCAGGACATGTCACCTCTGCCCACAAACCTTAACATGAGGGCAACTAGTTCCAGGTCCCAATTCCAGACTAACACCAAAACTCCCTACTACAGTTACCTCCATAGACCATGCCTGGCCCATCCCAAGTCTGAACTACCTGAAAGGGACGAAACAAGTGAGGATCCAGAAAGATTCCCAAGACCCCAGGCCAGGGCCAAATTGTAGACACTGTCACAAGCTCATTCAGCCTGTCCCTAAAGCCCTACCCACCCCAGCCTTCTACCATAGCTCATGCAGTCTCATCTGCCCATGTGAGATGGGTCCACTGAGGGGAGAGGGCATAGTGACTGAGCAGGTCTGAGCAGGTCCAATCTCACTATAGCTTATGAGA